TTTACTGCTTTTTGTTTTGAAAGAGAAAAGTCCTTGAAATAATTTAAGTATTATTTTTCTTTGCTAGAATTAATTATTCACATTTATTATATTATTGACAAATAAAAAGATTATGAGTCCAATTTTAAAGGATCCTCATTTATATCAATGGGATCTATTATTTCAACACCTAATTCTTCTAATTTTTGCTGGAATAGAGATTAAACCATATGCTACAAGATATTCTCCAAGCACTAAATATGGTAGAGAATACTCATACAAGTTAGACCATAGAGAAATTATTGAAAAAATGCAAGAGAACCTAGGTAATAAAGATTTTCTATGTGAAAAACCAGATTCTACTAATTCTACTAATTCTACAGAGAAATCAATTGAGGATGAATTGGCAACTTTGGACTCTGCTCATACAGATCAATTTTTAGAAGAATCTTTCACAGCAGAAGCCCCTCTTACTACTAATTCTACTAATTCAATTCCTGAACTAGAAAATGATGATGATGCTGACCAAGTCTATGAATGAAGAAATTGATGAACCAATTTCTAAAAAACTAGAAGAGTCTTTAAACTCGCCTGCTGAATGCAGTAAATCTTCTGCACCTATCACTAAAAAAGTCCTGCCTCCTATTCCCCCAAAACCGATCAAACTTCAAGTAAAAAAAGAGTCAATTCCTGAACCAATTTCTGAGTCAGTTCCTGAACCCGCTAATCTTGAATTAGAAGGTCCAGAGTTACATCCACAGATAGATGAGGATGAATTCTGGAGTGCCATATTATCTGAAATTAATATTCCTGAACCAATTTCTGAGCCAGAAATTATTAATTCAACTCCAGAACCAACTTCTGAACCTATTGTCTATATGGATAAAAAACTTGAAGAATTATATCAGGGCATAAAAGCTAATTGGGAAAAATGTAGTAATGATCCTGAAGATTTTGATTGGGGGCTTTTCATCGAAGAAATAATAGATCATAAAAACCATTTGCAATATGATTATCAGAAAGATCTGTTCCATATGCACATCCAAGGTTAGAGAGACCTATTAAATCATCAGAATTCACATAGATATTCATGTTCTCATCCTATTGATGAGGAAATTGCATCGAAAATTTATGAATATTACTATGAAAAAAGAGCCCAACTATATGTACCTTCAATAATAAACCAGGACCATCCGTTAATGAAAAGGAATGTGCACTAACCAATGGGGAAAAGGTTTACTCAGATGATGATGATGATGAGGAATGGTACAAGGAATTAGATAAACACCGAAAAAAGAAACTCCAAAAAAATTAAGTCTATGTGATTTACTGATATTTGCTTTGCATTATTATTATTTTATTTTTTTCTGTAGAAATTTATCAATTTGAATAATTATACACAATAAATAAAATGCCAATCAATAAAAGCTTCTGAAGTTTACCAACATGTCATTATATTACTGAAATCAAGTTCTTTGGCAGTAATTTCTCCAGAAAAAGAATCAATCACAAAATAGAAAAAATTAGAACCAGGATTCCAAATCATCAATTTCAAGTACTTCTTCCCTATGAGAATTACAAACCTGGCTCATGGTTTGAGGATGGAGAAGATATATCATTATTTTTACTACTAGATCATTATGATGAATTGCAATTGCCAGAAGGTGGAGGAGATCCTGTAACTTATAATCAATTTATTGTATACATGATGGATCCTCCCACATTAGCTGGTGGTTGTAATGCATGGAGTGCACTTTCTTCAAAAGATCCAAAAAGGGATAGAAGATTAAATGATTGTCTCTATCAATGTTTATATTACACTTATGGAACATTCTCAAATCTCCCAAGAACTATTGAAAAGCCGGATATTCTTAAACAAATTTTGGGACTAGAAAGATGCAATCCTATTCCAGTACATCTTATTGAAAAAGTAGAAAAATTAGCCAAGTCTATTGCCATTAACATAGTTGGGGATGCAACTTGAATTTTCAAAAGCCCAACTCATTGACAAATTACTCTTACACTTGCTAATGGGCATTATTCTACTGCACCAAATCCAGATCGATTCAAAATAAATACTGCTACTACTAAGCCAAAGAAGCCTTTAATATATCAAGAGGATGGAGTAAATAACATTGTAAAAATATTTAATGGGGAATCCATACACCCCATTATTGTTACAGAATTACAAAAATTACAATCTAAATCTCTCTATAGGAAATACTGTTATATTCCAGTTGCTAAAGATGAAACACTAAAAAATGCTTATTTCAGAATTCATGAAGAATGAAATATATTGCAAGAAGAATCAAAAAAACTTGGTTTATCAATTGATCTTTTCATGTGTCACACCAATTATAAGAAAGTTGCATTGTGGTTATTTGAAAGACTTAACAAAGCAATCTGTGCCAATGAACCATTAGATCCTCTTGAGCAAAATGATTTCAGACTCGATGGTGGGTGGAATTATTTGGACTGAAAATGACTGGAAAAGATTTGGCCAACAGTATGATGAACTAGCTTATATCCAAATATTATGCAATCAAATGTCACATTCCCAACCTGCAAAGGAAAGTTTCAAATACTGAAAGATTTCATTAAAAAAATATGAGAATGGAGACTATGCTATGTATGGATTATATTGAGCAGAAGTTGAGTATAAAGAAGATATGAAAGTATTGTTTCGATATAGTAAAAATAAAAAATATACTCATATTGATTTATCTCATGCCAAAACATTGGGACTTCAAGTTGTAATAATTCAAGATGGTTCTCCAAATGCACTAGTATATGAAAAATAAACAAGAATCTTGGGTAAAATAATATTTGGAGAATACATAAATTTCCTCTTCAAACTAAAAAATAATGGCGAAATCATTGGACAAATTGCAAAAAGAGTTCTCAATACCTTATGGGGAGCGTTATGCCAGAGAAACAAGTTTTATTATAACATTGATATTAGTATGCCTGAGTTATTTGAAAATCCAGAAGGAGAAATATTAGATAATATCATACCAGTAGGAGAAGATTGTTGGACTTTGCAATTCTCAAACCCCAGGAATCTATTCAAAGGAGAGTATCCTCAAATTGTGCCATTTTTACTAGCTCAGGGACGAAAAATAATATCTCTCCACATAGCACCTTATAAAGATAAAGAGAAGCAAGTTCATACCGATGGATTTATTCTAGAAGAGGATCCTATGAAACCACCTCTTATTGAGTGTTCAGAAGATGTATCAAAAACTTTGAAAATGCTTAAATTTGAAAAGAAAAGTGAATGTTATGTTAAAAATGCTAATCAAGTTACATGGTATTGATTATGATGTTTTTTTGCAGAATCCATCTTTATTACGGGTATACTTCTCACATGATTTGATTTTACATGGCTTACCTGGTCCTTTATTTTTTCTATACCAATGCTCATTACACCCTTCTATTCAAGTGCAATTTTTACTACAAATAGAACCATTGATTTTAATATATGGACATGTAAAATAGGTAACGTAAAACAGAAGATCTTCTTTGACTGCCCCACCCACTACTAATATTTGGGGCATACTGTAACAAAACCAGACAAAGTGAATATTGGTATACCAAAAATTTCAGTGTCTAAAATTGTTTGACACCCTTGTTGTACTACTGACATGTTCATGTTGATTAATATATTCAATATTATGGTTTTAAAAGTAACAAGTAATAATATTACTAAAATGAAACTTTATTATTTCTTGATTAACATTATTCTAACAAACTATAAGTCTCAGCAAAGGAAAAATATTATTCTACACATTAATTTTTAAAGAAATTGTATTTCTTATATATAAAAAGTATTAATATAATTTTGATTTAGAAATTTTTTTGATTTCAAAGATTGTTATTGATGATGAATGGATAAAAGCCAATAAAAAATTAATATAATGATTATACATGCAGCCCAAATTGGTTTGGTGATTTTGATGGTCAAAATTATTCCAATTTTGATGGTAGAAAGTAGAAATTAATTACGGCATTCACTATTAAAAACATAAGTGTAACACCCTTTACTACATGTGTAACCCCATTATGGCAGTGTCAAAATACTTTGGGCTGCATGTATAATAATAATAAATAATGTTTGTAAGCAATAAAAATATCTAAAAATTAACATTGAATAGATCTTTTATCTTTCTTTTCATAGATTTCCATTTTAAAGTAATAGCAGTATTTTTTCATGATATACCTAATTTTTGACGAATTCATTATAGTATTTAAATTTTGTCCTTGACTTTAATAAGTATTGGAAATTGTTATTCACTACATCGTTATTCACTACATCGTTATTTTCACTATATTAAATATAAAAAATATATTTTTAAAAAATATTGTTTATATTAATATAATAATAATGTTTAACAAAATAATATGTACTTTTCGGTTAGGGAAGAAATCCAATCACTAATTTCTTTTTCGTACTTTTTCATAAGGTTAATAATATTAAAGATTTAATGTTTTTCGGAAGCTCAATACAATTAATTTTTTTTGAAATACATACTTCTAAAGAATTGATGTTTCCTCTTTGGTCCATTTAGTAGCCCAATGAGTAGTGTATCTTTGTCCACCTTCAGATATATCATCTTGATTTTCACCACCACCACCACCTTCTTCTTCATCAATTGTTTGTAATCCCTCAACAACATGGTGTTCAACAACTACTGATATTACATGATTTTCATTACTATTACTCTTGTTACTGCCACTGTCAGAAACTTTCACTTTCTTCTTACTCATTATTTTTTTCCTCCTCACTATAGTTACTATCAATTTCACTAAATTATTCTGCTCTATTAATTATATTAGTAGTTGTAATGATGTTTTCAGTTCCATTTTTAGAAGAATCACCAAAAATTTCTTGGTCATCAAAAGAACTTTCACTAATCTCTCGAATATCAGCATCTTTCAATATCTGTGGTTGGCAAATAAAAGTGTAAAATAAACAAATTATGATCAAACAAAAATTTTTTTTTCTAAAGCTTACTTCATCATATTCATTGATATCATGTATAAGATCACTTATGAAAACTTCTAATTCCTTTTTTAATGATCTTTTTTATTTTCCAATGCATTATTTATTTTTTCAATACTGATGTCATATCTAGGGTTTTTATTCATGAATATCATGAATATCATTAAGGGGGTCACGCTATTAAAACAGCAAAAAATCCCTTAAAAACATGAGTTGATCACTTGATTTTAACAGTGTGTGACCCTGTGTGATCCCCTTATGATATTCATGAATACAAACCCTAGTCATATCTGTTTCTCATCGATTTTTTGAAATCCTTAATAATATTTCCAACCTAATTAATCCAAAATAACATTATTAAATTTTATTACATTAAGAGATCAAGAGTAAAATAATCAATTTGTTCAATTGGAAGGAAAATGGTTAATTTCCTACCTGTTGGTGTTCTTTTGATGGACCTGATAGTGCTTTAAAAAATAAATACAAAGGAATCAAAGAAATTAAAATAATTAATCAAATTAGAATGGTGAGTTATAACTAAAGACTAGTGCCGTAATCCAAAAAAGGAAAAAGTATGGTTGCAAAAGTGGTTGCAAAAGTAATTGCAACCACTTTTTATATGCCGTAAATACAATTACTACCATCATCATAATTTACGGCACTAGTCTTTAGTTATAACTAATAAATAGTACTTACTTGCTTCTCCTATCTTTATGTTCTTTTTTTCATTTATTTTTTTGTGAAGGAAAAAAAATAATTATTGATTGAAACACGAATGACGTAAAAATTTTATTTATAATGTATGGTTGTACAAACAAGATACTTTTTTTTTTTTTGAATCCATCATACCAAACAACATTCATCTTGTTGGTTCTAAAAGATGTGATAATGAGAGATGCACAATTTTTTTTTTGTATTGATATGTGCCTTTTTTTATAAAATATCTTGTTGAAATCAAAATGTGGAGCAGTGATTCTTATCAAGATAATAAATAAATAAATGGTAAACATTTTGCTTTTCGTAACTGTTATTAATATTAAATAACAATAAGATGTCAAGGCAACATGACTGTTAAAAATAAGAACATTTCAATATGCAGTGTTTGATTATTGGAAATTGACAAACATTAAGGCACACACTGCTTTAACACTTTACAGTTGTTCTCATATGTTCCTCATGTATACATAAGGCTAAACTGACCACGCTGCCTTTGATGATATGGTGATGCAACTAAATTCCAGGGAGAGGTCCCAAGGCCTTGGGATTTATCAAGACTGCATCATTGCCAAGGACATTTGCGTGAATCTCGATCTTCCCTTCACTGTACTTGAATTGGCTGGATATGCATGTTAGTCAAAAATTTTTCTGCAATGATCCTACCTCTAGGGTGAAGATGGCTATGCAACCAAGAAGTTGCAACTCTAGCATTGTAATATTAGGAGTGCCATGTAAATATATAGAACCATTAAAGCAGTAAGAATCTGTAATCCATTTCAAGCTCAGGGAGATGTGATAAGTTTTTGCCCACCTTATAAAAGCCTTCCAATTTATGGGTGCCTTCACTGGTGGAAAAAATTCCATAGTTACAAAGGCGTGTGAAAGCACCTAACCATTTGTTTGTGATAGGAAAATTTAATTGAATCTGACACATGTGATCAACATCAGATTTATTATTCATAAGGAACTACAGTGTGATTCAAAAAAAATGGTGGTCACAAAAATATTATGATTACATAACATAATTAAATAAAAATATATTCATTTGAAAGCTGATATTCTATTTTATTAAATAATAAGGAATTAATAAGAAATTCTGTCACCATTTTTTTTTAAAACTAATTCATATCTTCTTTTCATAGACATAATAATATTTTTAACCATCTCCTGGGGAATTTTCTCCCATTCTTCTACCATAAATCACTTCAATTCATCAACATTTCTAGGCATCCTTTTTTCAACATTATTCTTCATAATGTACCACATATTCTCTATTGGATTGAGGTCAGGACTGTTGGATGGCCAGTTAATCGTATTAATCTTATTTTCAGCAATGAAATCTTTGCAACACGTGCTTTGGATCATTGTCCTGTTGCAAACACCAGCTTCTACCATGCAACCTTCACACAGCAGGCAAAAGCTGAGTCTGCAATATGTTGATGTAATAAAGCCCATCCATAATATCAGTAAAACAAAATAATGGCATTTTACCTTTTAATGAAATCCATTACTTTTTGCCATGATTTCAGCAATCTGCAAACTGGTCTTTGTCCATCTTTGTGCCATCTACGAATTTTGTTACAAAAAATATCAAATGCTGTCTCATCTGTAAAGATTGTATGGCTCCAATCATCATTCAAATGAGCTTGTGCCCATGCTATTCAGGCTTCAAAGTGATGAGTGGTTAGCATTGGAGTTCCAATGGGCACAGAACTTCTGTAACCTTTTTTTTTATGTGTTGCCAAACAGTAGGTTGTGAAATAGACACATTATGTGTTACTTGGAGTTTAATTGCAAGTTTGTGTGTCGAAATAGCAGTATTATGACAAACAACTTGCCTGATGGAATGTGACAGATTTTGTGTAACCTTTGATGGATGACCATTCCCACCTTTATGTTCAATAGAACCAGTTTCTTTTAGTTTTTTTAAGTTGTTCTTGAGGGATGTTTGTTTTTCATATATTTCTTTTGGTGAATGGATACCATTCATCCAAAAATGAAAAATAGTTTTACGTTGTGCTTCTAATTTGCATTAACCATTTTTTACAAAGCTTAAAAGTTAAAAGGTAAAGAAAAGACAATGTAATAACATACACGAATATTGATTATCATGTAAACAATCATATCCAATCATATTTATCATATAAGTAAACGGTAAATTTTTTTAACAGGTTCAAAATAAGCAACCACCATTTTTTTTGAATCACACTGTTTATATTGTGTTACAACGAATTTTTTTGGTGGGATTTTTGTAGCATGGTGGACATTCCTTTTATATTATTTATATTATGTCAATCATTTTTCAATTGTTTTAGAATAGACTATGGGTTACACTTATGAGGCAGGTGCAAGTACACTAAATAACAACCTTTCAAATTTTACAAGTATACTCTTTTCACTTCAACATTCCCTGATCCACCCTGATTCATTCGAAGTAACGATTTTTATTTCTTGATTGCAAGTCATTACTAAAATGCCTGTTGGTTTTTGTCCATTTGCAAAATATAAAAAGTTGACTCTAAGTGGTGAAATATTTCAGAACAAGGATAAGAAAAAGCTGAACTAGTGGGTTATGAATTAAATATAGGTGAAAGAATAGATAGATATAAAAGAAAACCTGAAGATGTAACATATAAAATGAGAAAACCAATTGAAATGGAAGCAAATATTACTAGACCATCAAGTCAACATATTAAAGGTGATTAAATATTAATTTAATGTTAATCAAATTAATTTTATTATTTTGTTTTTTAATTAAATAAATTAATTTATTATTGTTTTTTGTTTTTTTAATAATTAAATGATTAATTTTTAGATGGTATACAATTTTCTGATTTTTTTAATGATCAAATAAATAAAAATGATCAAAGAAAGAGATCCTTTGTTAAAAGGCTTTTTTGATATGCTAAGTATATCCCTTCTTCAAAAAATTCCTCTACAGAAATAAGTCTAAAAAGAAAAGTAATGATTCTCTGTTACCAATTATCTGCCCAGTTTTGATTCCTGCTTTGATTACAAAAATTGTGAAATAGCAGATGCTACAATGATGATAATTGCATATTAATTTGAGCAGTGATATTCTTACAAATACCTAGTTCTATCTATAATTGTGATATATACATATAATAATGTTACACATTTACTAATGATCATATTAGTATGTGATGCCAAGAGACACCTATCCTAATAAATTGTTCCCAAAGCTTTTCCATTCCTTTTTTGTAAAGAGGCCACTTAATTCAGTGTTGGCAAATCTGTCCAAATACCCCTTGTCCGATTGTCCAATTTGTGTCCAATTTACTGTATTAGGTAATTTGGACTAATAGTTACTGCGGCATTTGGACAATTGGACAGGACAAATCCAAATAAAATTTAATTGGACACCTAAAAATGCCAACCCTGACTTAATTGATTGAATTTATTATTCTCGGGCAGAAATATTATGCCATAACAAGCAAATTCCTTTATCAATTGTTGTAATTCTATTTGACCACACACTCCCTTTCTTTAAATAAGAAATTTGTCAATATTTAATTATATGGTTTGGGTCAACATTTCATAAAAAGATACAAACTTCTAGTGGAGGTATGTCAACATCGTCATCATCATTGTGATCAACATTATCTGGTATATTTGGAATAGAAGAAATAATACCTTTCAAAAACATATCCTGATCAGTTTTTCTTAAATCAGGAAAATACTTATATATCTAGTTTCAATTTCATGGTCACTTTCTTCTGCTTCATCATGGATTAATTCTATTTTTTCTTCACTTTTATTAATATCTAAACTTGGAACATATTCAATTTGTAAATTTTCAAAAGAATTTTGTAAACAAGTTAAAATGAAGATGACATTTTTGGTTTATGTTTATTATTTATTATTATAGCATTTTGTGTTACAATTTTTATACCCCTGTATTTTGTTGATCATTCTCTATTTTAATTTACATCGTTTATAATTTTTTAACTCAATTCGTCCTCAGGGACGTTGGTCGCGTTTCTATTGTCCATACCCCATATACACAAAATGAATTATTTTATAGTGCAGGACATCTATAATGGTCAATGATTATCACATGACTTTAAAAGCTTATAACTCCTTATTAAAAAAGAAAAAGAAAAAGAAAAAAGTAAACCAATAGAATTAAAGCTAAAGACCTAAGCTTCATTACATCGGTTTACTTTTCCATTTTATTAAAAAAGTTTTGAGTTATAAAGCTTCAAATTTAGGCCATTTTATATATTAATATGTCCATATGTAAATTGTAAAATTTCGGATGATCCTCCTCGTGATTTCCTAAAGGCCGATGATCGGCTTGAAAATTTTTCGTGATATATACAGAAATATTAGTAGATGATGACCTCAGTGATTTTTGTTCATGTGATCAACAAATCCTAGAAATTTTTTTTTTACAAAAATGTCAACGACAACGACAACACAAACATCAAATATAGATTATTATATGATTGTAAGTATTTTTAATTTTAATTTTAATTTTAATATTATTGTTAGCTAGATCTACAAAGATATCAATAAAATAAATAATTTTTCTATATAAGGAAGAAATTGATATACCTTTTGAAGAAGAGATATTGCGAAATCCTTATACGCTCAAGTCATGGCTCAGATATATTGATCATAAATCTGAACAACCATTACCACAACAAATTTTTGTATATGAACGTGCTTTAAAAGAGTTACCAGGTTCATATAAATTGTGGAAAAGATATTTAGATCTTCGTATATCAAATGTTAAAGAATTGAATTCTGTCAACTTTGAAAAAGAATATATGAAAGTTAATAATTGTTTTGAAAGAGCATTAGTTCTATTGCACAGGGTATTGATGATTTTTTTGTTTACTATTATTATTATTATTATTTATTATTATTATTTATTATAACTATGTTATGAATTTGTAGATGCCAAAGATTTGGTTAGATTATTGTAAATTTTTGATGAAACAATGTAGAATTACAAAAACTCGTCGTACATTTGATCGTGCATTAAAGGCATTACCGATCACTCAACATCCTAGAATTTGGGACTTATATTTGGATTTTGCTAGAACAATTAGTGGTGAGACTGCAATTAGATTATATAAAAGATATCTAAAGGTGAGGTATGTGTTATTGGTTCTAATATTTATTTTAAAGATCTTTTTTTCAAAAACATTTATGAATAAATAAACAATTTATTGTTTTTATGATACTATTATTTTAATTAATAGAAATAGTATTATTAAAATTTCAATAACTTATATCAACAAAGATAAATATATGTATGTGCAAACATTTAATTTGGTATTTTTAAACAAATAAAATATAGTTGGAACCTGATCATATAGAAGAATATATTGAATTACTATTATCGCTCAAAAGATATGATGAGGCAGCAAAACAATTGGCAATAATAGTGAATAATGATCGATTTCAATCAATGCATGGAAAATCAAATTATCAATTATGGATGGAACTTTGTGATTTAGTGTGCGATCATCCGCAAGAGATCAAAGGTTTAAAAGTAGAACCTATTATAAGGAGTGGGATTCGTAGATTCACTGATCAAGTGGGAAAATTGTGGAATTCTTTAGCTAATTATTGGATTTTATTAGGTCACTTTGAAAAGGTATTTATATTTTTTTTATGTGTATGAGAACAAGTTTATTTAATATCATATTATTTTTCCATTATATTATTGTCAGGCACGAGATGTTTTTGAAGAAGGTATAAAGAATGTGATGACAGTAAGAGATTTCACGCAGATATTTGATACTTATGCACAGTTTGAAGAGACAATAATGGAAACAAAAATGCAAGAAGCAGCAACTCGCGCAGAAAATAATGATGATGATCCTGAAGAAGATTTAGAATTGGATCTTAGACTTTTGAGATTTGAGCAATTGATGGATCGTAGACCATTTTTGGTAAATGATGTACTTTTACGACAAAATCCTAATAATGTTCATGAATGGGAAAAAAGGGTTTCATTGTGGAAAGACAATAAAGAACAGGTGTGTCAAAAAAAATCAAAGTAATTAAATTTGATCATAAATTCCAAAAAAAAAAAAAAAAAATTAATTAATTAATTAAATTTTTTAATGCAAACTTACAATAGATTGTTGAAACATATAACAAGGCAATTTTAACAATTAATCCTAAAAAAGCCACAGGAAAATTGCATGAGTTGTGGGTTAACTTTGCTAAATTTTATGAAGAAAATGGTGATATAGAAAGTGCTAGAATAATATTTGAAAAAGGGACTCATGTTGACTTTAAAAATGTAAATGATTTAGCAACGTTATGGTGTGAGTATGCTGAAATGGAATTACGGAATGAGAATTATGATAAAGCAATTGAGGTTATGGGCCATGCTACAATTCCTCCCCGTAATCCAAATGTAGACTTTCGTGATGAGGTAAATATTATAAATAATATTGCATTAGTATCGATGATCATAATGTTATTATTATTGTTTATTATTTTTATTTATGTATATTTATGTATTTGTATATGTGTGTGTGTGTATATATATAGAGTTTATCAGTACAATCACGTGTTTTTAAATCGATTAAACTTTGGTCATTCTATGTTGACCTTGAAGAGAGTATTGGTACGATAGTATCAACAAGAGCAGTATATGATCGAATGTTGGAATTGAAGATCGCGACACCACAAATTGTAATCAATTATGCAGCTTTTTTGGAAGAGAACAATTATTTTGAAGAAAGTTATAAAGTGGGTTAATAAATATATTATATAATTTCATTATATTTAATAATTTAATAAATTTTACAATCATTTAATAATTAAAAGATATATGAACGTGGTATTGAATTATTCAATTATCCGATTGCATTTGAGATTTGGAATTTATATTTGACCAAATTTGTTGCCCGATATGTAAGTATTTTCTTTAATGAATATTTTCACGAATTTACTCATACTCGCTCACTTATAATATACGCACACACATATATAGAAAGGTTCCAAATTAGAGCGAGCAAGAGATTTATTTGAACAGGCTCTTGAGAAATGTCCACCAAAACATGCAAAAACATTATATCTTATGTATGGTAAATTAGAGGAGGACTATGGATTGGCAAGACATGCAATGCGAATTTATGATCGAGCAACAAATGCAGTTGCTGATGAAGATCGTTTTGAGGTATATTGTTTTATTAATTCACTTACATTATATTGATATTCGTTAATTTCATATTTATTCATATTATATTTATTTATTCATTTTATTTATTTGTTCGTTCATTTATAGGTCTTCAATTTTTATATTGCCAAAGCAAGTTCAAACTTTGGTATTACTTATACGCGAGAATTGTATGAACGTGCCATTGAAGTATTACCTGATAGGGAAGCAAAAGATATGTGTTTGAAATATGCAGAGGTTGAATGTAAATTGGGAGAAATTGATAGAGCAAGAGCTATATATGCTCATGCATCACAATTTTGTGATCCTAGAGTAATTATTGCAATATATATTTATTTGATATTGATATTATATGTGTGCATAATTCTTACAATAAATAATAATTTTTAGACAGTGCCATCATTTTGGCAACTTTGGCATGATTTTGAGGTTAAGCATGGAAATGAAGATACATTCAAAGAAATGTTGAGGATTAAACGTAGTGTACAAGCTCAATATAATACAGAAGTATGTGAGAGAAACGTGTGTGTGTACATACACATAAATATAAATATAAATATATAAAATATTCTCACACATCATTATTCTAGGTTAACTTTATATCGGCTCAAATTCTTGCTACTCGTCAAGCTCATCAAAACACAAAAGATAAACCATCCAACACAGAAGCAGATGATCATTCTACTACTACACTTGACCCAATGAAATTAGCAGAAAAAGAAGCTCTTCTTGAAAGCAATTTTACAAGAGCCGTTGCTTTTGTTTCGTATGTATTTTAACACTATCATAATAATCATAAATAAATAAATGTTTGCTTACATTACTATTATTGTGTAGATCTTCGACAACTTTAGAAGATGATGAATCCATTTCTAAACAACTTGCGAATCCTGATGAAATTACTATGGATGATGATGATGATTTATAAATACACTTAAAGATTACTCTTTAATAGATTCAGATAATAACAATATTATTAATAAATGTTTTTTGTATTCAAAATGAAATTTATCAATTGTTTTTAATCGATACAACATATTATTAATTAAGCTTAAGTGTCAGATTTATGCAAAACAGAGATCATTTTTCTTTGTCACTCTGCAAGCTGTTATTAATCATTCTGAGTACAGTTCTGATGTTTGAATTTTCAATAGTAAGTTTTATATATATAAATACTAAATAGGCCTTGAATATCAATGCAATAAATAAAAAAAATCGAAACAATAATGCCTACAAAGATTGACTAATTAATGAAATTTTGATCATCTATATTTTGATCATCTATTATTTTGATCATCTATTATTTTGATTTTCGAAGTATTTATTTTTCGGATACCAAAATTGGTCTATCATAAAATTTGTTGTTGTTATCCATATCAGCGTTGATCATCAAATAACAATAAGGGAATTCCGGAATTAGGATAAGCCTGATTTGGAAAATAAATTAAATAAATAAAACGCAATCATTGAAATCAAACATATTTATAACTATTTTAGCTAGTCTGTCGATCCTTCATTATTTAAATGAATGAATCATTTTATTTTTATTTTCAAACGCGTGTATAACAAGTTATCCACGTTTATTGAAAAAAAATTTTTGAAAGAAAAAAAATTACATAAATATAAATCGTATACATTCTTTAATTAAATTCATATATATATTTTTTTTTTTTTAAAAAAAAAGTCACTGGTTGACAAACCCAAATTTTTTCCTCGTAAATATATCAATATCAATATAATAATTATTTTTAACTTTCTTTAAAAATGAAGGGTTCAACTAAAAATAGCAATAATAATAATTCGGTTTCACATAAAGGGAAAAAAAATTCTCTTCAATATAAAGGAAGTCAAAAAAGCAAGAGCAACAACAAGGACAGCATTAATAATAAAATCACCAGCATTGGGAATAATAATGATAATCTCGTTATTACAACGACAACAACAATTGTGGATAGTATTAAAATGACTAATGCTAACACAAATGCTGACGTTGATTCCAATGTTAATAATATTGATATTGAACATAATAAATTTTTTCCGCCATCTTTTACAAAAAATAAATCTCCACCTAAGTTTAATAAAAACTTATTGAAAATTCCATCAACTAAATTACCAACTCCTTCGATAACACCAAAATCTCCTTGTTTTGTTCATTCTTATTTAAATGATTCGTTACTTTCCACACCTTTATCTGAAATTATTACTAGGTGTGATAATAACGAACCAACTGATTATTCTGAATTGGCTGAAACTGCTGTTGGCGTAAGAGAAATCGCTAAAAGATTAGGTAATAATAAATTTTATTTTTAATAGTTAATTTAAATTTATTCATCTAAATTAATTAATTAATTATTTTAATTATTAGGTCAAGCACGTATTCAAAGTCCAATGAAGACAGTAATGATTGTAACAAAACCAGGTGATGATAAACTAATTGGCTTGACACGTGAATTAGCAATGCATTTAATTTCTACTCCAAGATTTGGTAAAGACCATGGTGTCACAGTATATGTTGATAAATCTTTAAAAGATATGAAAAAATTTGATTTCGAGGAAATGCTAAAAACTTCTCATTTGGCCAAAGATTATTTGAAATTTTGGACAAATGAATTATGTGCTACTAGGCCTGAAATTTTTAACTTTGTATTGACGGTAATTTTATTTTAACATTATTAATTGATGAATTAATTGATGAATTGATATTAACATACTAATTCATTCATTCCATTCATTTCAAATTTGTTTATTAATAAACAGTTAGGTGGTGATGGCACAGTGTTGTATACATCTTGGTTATTCCAAAAAGTTGTTCCTCCCGTTTTACCATTTCATTTGGGATCTTTAGGATTCTTAACAAATTTCGATTTTCAAGATTATAAAAACCATTTAACAAATGTTATGGAAAAAGGAATACGTGTAAACTTACGTATGAGATTCACTTGTACAGTTTACAGAAATGTAATAAATAACAAAAGCAAAAGAAAAAACAAAAAGATTGATAACAGTAATAATAATAATAATGACAACGAGAAAAGTATTCATGAACATTCTTTAACATTTCAACCATCTGAAACCTTTGAAATTTTAAACGATTTGGTTGTAGATCGTGGTGCTGGTCCTTATATGAGTTTATTAGAATTATTTGGTAAATAAATTAACATCATCATCATTTTTATTTTATTTTTAGATTATTAGTAAAGCTTGATTAATGTTACAAGTAATATAACTTTTATGTTACATCTTCTTGTTTATTATTATTATTAGGTGATGATGAACATTTGACAACTGTACAAGCTGATGGCTTGGTTATTTCAACACCTACAGGGTCTACTGCTTATTCCGTTTCAGCTGGTGGATCCTTGGTGCATCCTGAAATTTCTGCTTTATTAATGACACCTATTTGTCCACATACATTATCTTTTCGACCAATGTTATTGCCCGATTCAATGGAATTAAAGATATACGTTCCGTTCAATAGTCGTAATACTTCTTGGGCTAGTTTTGATGGTAGAAATAGAGTTGAGTTAAAGCGTAAGTTATATGTGTGTGTGTGTGTGTGTTATTTAATATAATTGTAAAATTATTAACACAAATAAATAAATAACCAAATATCTATTTATAGAAGGAGATTACATAAAAGTTACACCATCAAAATTTCCATTCCCTACCGTATGTTTAAAATCTCAATCACAAGATTGGTTTACCTCAATATCAAGATGTTTAAAATGGAATGAACGTGAACTTCAAAAGGGCTTTGTTGTAGTTGAAGAAGAAGAAACATCATCAGATGAAGATGAGAGTGTTTATTTTGATGAGGAAGATGAAGAACCAGAAGAAATGGAATTATCATCATCATCATCATCATCATCATTATCATTATCATCATCATCGTCATCATCATCATCGCCATCATCATCATCGCCTCCTTCATCTCCTATAGAGGATAATAATAAAGTTAAATTTTATGATCGAGAACAATTTAAAGAATCATTTAATAATAGTAACAACGACAATCAAATCAACATCATCAACGATGATAAAAACAACGATAATGATTTTATTTTTTCAATAAATGATAATGATAATGAACCAACAAAAATCGATAAAAATAACGAAAAAAATTATTATTCATCATCCACGACAACAATTGTACTCGCCAACAATTCAACTAATATTAATAATGAGGAAGAGTGGAAAGTTGTTACTCGTGGTAGAAATGGTAGAAATGGCAGAAATAAGAAAAAAATGATATAATTTAATTAATTAAAATATATTACACATACACACCACACCATACCACACACTCAAATAGATTGTTTTGTATTATATTCATGTAAACGATAATTTGAAGTTTTAGATTTTACATTGGTTATTTTAGATTATTTATTTTATTTCTATGTTTGATATACACGCACGTATATTTTAATTTATTCATATTGTAAAATGTCAGTCATTCAATATTTTTATTTATAGAGCATTTTTCTTTAAATATAAACTTTTTTTCTTTAAATATAAACTTTTTTTTCTTTTTTAAATATTAACTTTTTTCTTTAAATATTTATTTATTTAATTTATAATTTTTTCAACTTGTAGATATTTGCTTGTATATTATTATTTTTCTAATAAAGAAATTTCTAATGTCACAAATACATTTTTGTCCTCTTAGGTAAAATTGAATTGAATAAAATTAACATCAAACTTCTACACACCTTTTTTTAGCAATTCAAAATAACTATTTATTGGTTTATAAAAAAAAATAACTACTTTTCTTACACAAAGGAAATTGAATTTGGAGTAATGTAGCAAGTACAATGTCTTGTAGGAAAGTAGCACTTTTAAAAACAACTGAAATCGAAGTTGTAAAATTCTCGAGCAGATCTTTACAAACCTTGTCAAGAATTTGAATATGGCGAAACAAAAATAAAATTTCAATATGTTTTTTAAAGTATTTGGGAAATTCTCCCCAAGTTGAGAGTAAGTATAGCCGGAATTTGTCTAACATTTAGGATGGAGGATCTGACAGGCTTTTAGTGTCTCCTTCCGATCAGAGAATAAAACGATGGGGAATATTCGAGAAACTAGTTTCGCTTGATACTTGCCTTAAGTATAAATTTTATAAATAGTTCTCTTCCATCGTTTGACTGCGTTGGATGTTGTTGACCATCTTAAACTATTAAACGACCTTGAAATGTGGAGTGTTGTAGTTCGATTCTCAACTTACACAAACTCACCAATCTCCATTTTGTAAGCAATGTTGATGTTTAACATTAACGTTATCTTAAAAACTTGTCGCAAATAAAGAACAATAGTAATAGATGTAATTTGTTTAGATAACATGTACTCCATATTAAGAGAGTTCCCAGAACCTTTAGAACATATTAATATAAATAACTTTGTATCCACATGACAATAATATATAATAAACCTACCTATTTTGTTAGCGAGGAATTGTGTAGTGAAGATCTTACTATTACGGATCATCAATAGAGAGAGATTGGTATTGTTTATCGAAATATCGTTTTGGTTTACTAGGGAGCGGTTATACCAATTATAGCGAGATAAAAACATCAACAATAATATATTGATAAATTAATTTCCCTATCAGTCACAAAAAAAGATTTTTAAAAAATGTAAAAATAACTTTAACTCAAATGATAACAATGACATTATACAAGTAGTAACAGTATTGAATACGGAAAAGATAAAATAATATCAAATAAGATAATAATTTAAATCCAAATGTTACAAATGATGATGCTTAAAGCTCCAAACAGGCGGCTTAAGGCAAACCCGAGATCGACCCGAAAATTTCGGGTTGGTTTCGTGTTGATTTCGAGTTAATAAGAAAATTTTGCGATTTACATTGATTTAGATAAATTTATCTAAATCTTATTAATTAAATATAAAAGGCGAAACAGTTATAAGCCCGCAATTGGTGTTGTGCGTGGAACACGATTCGTGATGTAAGAGATGCAATGCAAGTCGTAATTCGTGATGCAGGGCATACAGTGTGTTTCAAAAAAAATGGCGCCAAAATGTAAATTTATTTATTTTAAAAATTTTCGCATGACAAAAAACGATTGGGTATCTTGTTTGAATGATAATAAATACTTGTATATATGTTTTATTACATGCGTTTGCAACAGGATAGCGATCCAAAACACACATCACGTGTTACAAAAACCTTCATTTTTGAAAAAAGAATTTGTATAATAGACTGGCCATCCAACAGTCCTGACCTTAATCCCATTGAAAATATCATAAAAAATAATGTTGAAAAAAGGATGCCAAGGAATGTTGATGAATTGAGATATTTATGGTTGAAGAATTCCTCAGGAAACAGTCAAAAATATTATTATGTCTATGAAACAGAAAGAAATGTGAGTTGGTTTTAGAAAAAAAACAGCGGTATAATTTCTTATTGATTTTTTTTATTTAATAAAATACTTAATAAGCTTTCAAATGAATCTAGCTTTGTTTATCTATCTTGCATAATTGTTGAGATATGTGATTTTTTGTGTACGCCATTTTTTTTAAACGCACTGTAATTCACGACACGAGACTAGTGGTCAGAACTAAATCATAGTTTTAGCAATTTTGGTTTAGGCCTAATTTTGCCATGAAAATTTTCTGACTGTGAGAGAAAACCAAACAGACAATTAAACCCTACTGTTTAATTCCGACCACAAAGGCGTTTATCAAAAAAGAATTAATTCGTTTTATTATAAAAATGTTTATTATTATTACAAACGAAAAAGTGACAATCTTTTTTTTTAAAATTAATCATTTTTGTATATATATATATATATATATATATATATACACATATATATAAGTAAATAATAAAAATAATGCTAAAAATAAAATTATTAAAAACGAGAGACTATTAATATGTCAACATCTCCTATATACGATTGGACAGCACCTCGATAAATCCGTTTTATTTATCACAATATAAAACTTTGCTCATAGGTTCGACAATTTAAAAGTTTAGGCAACTTTTAAGTTTCGACACTAGTTTAGGAGCCTAAACTCCTAATTTCTGCGGGTGAAACTATTTCTATTTCGGATTTGCTAAAACAATTTCGGCTATCATCATTATACAAGACACAATTCGCGATGTGTGTGTGAATTAATTCAAATTTTAACCACACATAAAACTCTCTATTTATTACATGAAAACTTTTTAATTTTTTAATTTGACGCAAGTTGAGCATGTTTCATGACAATTTATTAGCTAACAAACCCTTTTGGCTATGAAACATTGATATCACATTGAAATTAAATCAGTTGTATAAAATTATGATAAATTTGAGACTCTTAATTACAATTCAATAATTTGACCTCAAGTATAATTGGTACAGTCTAAAAAATTTCCAGGTTTTGGATTAGGTTTAAGTTTTTTAATTTAGTCCAAACTGATGGAATCTTCTTAACCAAACTTTTTCAATGAGTATCCATAGTCAGACTTGGCACAGCAGGGTTGACAAATTGACTGGTCCATTGTCATTAATAAATACCAAATATGGTTAAAATGTTATACTAATGGACCCAATGGATCACCAATAGACCACGCATTTGCCAACCTTGTGGCATAGAAGTGCTATTGCTTTGCAACACATCATCTTACAGGAGTTTCTGTAGGAATCAACCAAAAAAACCAAGACCTATCTACAAATTATATTGCGAGATAGTAAAATGGAGTCTGATATAAATATATATGCAGCCCAGATCGGTTGGTGATTTTGATGGTAGAAAGTAGAAATTAATTACAGCACTCATTATTAAAAACATAAGTGTAACACCCCTTTACAACATATGTTGGGCATGGACAATAGAAAGGGACCAAACGTCAAAAATCATGATTTTGAGTTAATGACATTCTTATATGTAATTCGCCACGAGGATTAATTTTAGCTTAGAAACAATACCCATATTACTTAATAAAATTTTGAGATATTTTCTGTTAAAGTTTTTAAAAACAATTGTAAATTACTTGAAATGTAGATCTTTTTTTCCGATTTTCTCAAAATCATGATTTTTGACGTTTGGTCCCTTTCTATTGTCCATGCCCCATGTAACCCCTTTATGACAGTGTCAAAATACTTTGGGTTGCATGTATAGATATAGATATGAGGTCCTAGTTTTTGTTGATCACAGAACCAACTTACTGCAGAAGTCATGTGATACTACAAATGTTGGGATGATCGTTGAACAATTTCTGGTAATACCCCGGGTCCTTTTCTGGTTTAAGCATAGTTAAAATTGAAATCTACCGATTAAAATAATTAAAATCAAGCCAAAATCATGTGGCTGACAAAAATACTTTGAAAAATGATTTGGAATACCATTTAATATCCTTATTAACAAAGAAAATAACTTGTAAAGAATGTTAATGTTATTTATCCTATAACTTTCTTAGTCACCAAAAATGAAATATGTAGATTTGGATGTTATGACTGAAATAAACAAAACTCAGAGCAACTTTATTATTAATAAAAGCCCAAACTAAATTCCGCTCAGGAAAAACTATTTTTTGTTCAGAAGAGAAGTATATTATTAGTATTATTATACAAAATTTGAGGTGATATAAATAAGTGGTGGTATACCAGTTTTTTATGTGGTACTTTTTTGATTTTATAATACTCTTCACATATAAATTGCTGATCTTTTTTTTTGAAATTCTTCTTCATAAAATTTCTACTTTAATTGCATCTTGCAGAAATAAGATAGGGTATGATGTTTCTGAACACATTCCAATTTTAGTAATCTCCCAAAATTTGTGAAAAAAAAATCATGATCCTTGGGCTTGAAGAGAACTAGTGTTCCATGTTGCAACCCAAAAAAGGAAACAAAATGGTTGTAAAGGTGGTTGCAATCATTTTTTTATATGATGCAAAGATGGTAGCAACCATCATCAAGAGTTGCAGCTGGTATTCTTAGGCATAATCAATTTGGTTTTCATAACAACATAAGATTTTCTTCGCCAGGTTTATCTTGAGGCATTGGAGCTTTCATAATTTAATTTGGTTACCAAACATTTTCAACATAATAGTCATGACAATAACAATAAAAAAGATAAAGATAATAGTCATTGAATTAAAGAAAATATATTTTTTCTTCAAGTGAGTTGTAAAAAAAAAATATTTAAAGTATCTAAATAATTAAAAGATTCTATTTATTAAAGGGTGATCCTATATATACAGGACCCTTCTAATTTGTAGGGATGGGAACAGTTCGGTTCGGTTCAGTTTATAAACTGCCAGTTTGGCTAGTGAACCGCACTGACTGGCGGTTTACCACCATGGTTCAAACTCAAGTTTAACTGCAGTTTTATAATTTTATTGGATCTATTTTTATAAAATGAAAATTTTTTTTTTAAAAAACAAATTATTTGTTCTGACAATTAAAGCTATTTTAAACACCACTACTATCATCTATTCACTTAATATTTGCTTGTACTTTAAATTGTTTGCATCAATAGCTGGAGTTCCACCTGATCTCTATATCAAGTTGTAGCACTATAATTCAATTAATTGTGATTGAAATATCTGTTATCATAATTTTCTTTTTTCTTTTATGAACAATAAAAAAATAAACATAGTTAAATTTTATTATCAGGTCCAATTCAAAATTTAGGACCACAGCATAAGTTAGTAAGATTTTTAAATAAACTAATATGTAATTTGAATAAAATTAATAATTGAATAAACTAATAAATCAAATAAAATTAAATCAAATAAAATTAATAAAATGAACGATTTGAATAAAATTGGTAAATCCAATTCA